TGGGCTTTTTTTGTTTTTTCCATGTGAAATTTAAAAGGTTTTCTTCTTGAGTATATAGGCAGTACATTCTTAAGTATACATTTTTAGGATATAGTTGAATAGTTTGTGGTAAAAAAAATTATGTTAAATAATGTATTTTTCTTCAAATATAAAATCTTCTTCCATATGTCCTTTTTGTGCTTTATTAAGTACAGATTTAAAGAATGCCATTATTTTACTAATTTTAGTGATCAAACTGCAAACACATAGACACATGCAACATTGTTTTGGATTTATTCCATTTTTCCTAGAACTCTTGAGCTCTTAATGCACGAAAGTTGAATCAGTTATTCATGTACTTATTCAGTAACAATTTATTGATAACAAATAAGAAAGAGCTAGGTAATAAGTTTAACAGTAAAATGAGGTTTTAAAAAAATTATACTCTGTGAAAAGAGCAAATTTTAAAAAGATACATATAATGTGATCCCATTTTTCTAAAGTCTGAATCATAGGAGTAAAGTTTTAGTTGTATCCGTGATGTTTCATTTCTTTAAATAAAAGCACTGAAACAAGTATGGCAAAATATTAACATCTGTTAAATCTGGGTACAAATGTAGGTATCTGTTATGCTTTTTTCTATACTTTATACATTTGAAATATTTCATAATTAAATATTTTAAATTTTTAAATAAAACAGGCCAGTGTGATAAAGGGAGTGACAGGGTCTGTTTGTGAAGGTCTCTGGGGAGGTGACATAGACTGAGACCTGACCAGCAGGGAGGAATTACTCATGCAAAAATATAGAGAAAGAATATTCCAGGGAGAGAAACAGCCATTGCAGTGGTGCTGAGGCAGGTATAGTGTTGACATGTTCAAGGAAAGAAGGCCATCTGAGCCTATCTTGATTGGAGAACCAGCAGTTAAGCTCTGGTGGTAACTACCACAGCATAGCTGGTAAGGGGTCATTTAGCCTTTGAATACTAATGGTGAAGGAAGCTCACCGTTTTCAGACTTACCTGATACTTAAAGTTTTTCCATGTAAGGCATAAAGAGTGTTGTCAGGTGCTGTTGAGTCAGTTCTGACTCATAGCAGCCCTGTGTATAACAGAACAAAACAATGCCCGCTCCTGTGCCATCCTCATGATTGTTATGCTTGAGCCCATTGTTGCAGCCACTGTGTCAGTCCATCTTGTTGAGGTCTTCCTCGTTTTCACTGACCCTCTACTTTACCAAGCATGGTGTCCTTCTCCAGGGACTGATCCTTCCTGATAACATGACCAAAGTATATGAGACGAAGTCTCACCATCCTCACTTCTAAGGAGCATTCTGGCTGTATTTCTTCCAAGACAGATTTGTTCGTTCTTTCGGCAGTCCGTGGTATATTCAATATTCTTCACCAACACCATAATTAAAAAGCGTCAGTTCTTCAGTCTTCTTTATCCATTGCCCAGCTTTCACATGCACATCAGATTGAAAACACCATGGCTTGGGACAGGCACACCTTAGACGTTAAAGTGACATCTTTGCTTTTCAACACTTTAAAGAGGTCTTTTGCAGCAGATTCGCCTGATGCAATGCGTCTTGATTTCTTGACTGCTGATTCCATGGTGTTGATTGTGGATACCAGTAAAATGAAATCCTTGACAACTTTGATCTTTTCTCCGTTTATCATGATGTTGCTTATTGGTCCAGTTCTGAGGATTTTTGTTTTCTTTATGTTGAGGGGTAGTCCATATTAATCTAATCACAAGTAAACAATCAGATCCAGAATGTGAGACATTTTATGAGGCAGCTGGCCTGAACTTTTCAAAATGATCAACATTGCATAAAACAAAAGTTTGGGGAGGTGCTCTTGTGCTGACGTATTTTAAAATGAAGAGATGTTATATCTGCAACTAGCTTTCAAATAGTTCATGCAAAAATAACTGTGTGTCTCACCGTTCAGCCTGAGCGTGGACAGCCCCATAAAACCAAATGGGACCAATGAGGTACAGCAGTCCAGGGACAAGGGCCAGAAGGCAGAAGAGGACAAGGAAGCTGGTGATAGGGAACCCAAGGTTGAGTAAGGATAGTGTTGGTGTGTTGTAAGGTTGTTAACCATTGTCATAGGGCAACATGTGTACTAACTGTTAAATGAGGAACTGTTTTGTTCTGTAAGCCTTCGTCTAAAGTGAGAATAGTAGCACAATTGGAAGAGCGTAGTCGATGTCACTGAACTGTGCATGTAGAAATTTTTGAAATGGTGATCTTTGGCTATGTATATTTTCACCAAAAAAAAAAAAAGGTCGAGAAGGGAGAGGGTTGACATGTTGTGGGGTTGTTAACCAATGTCAAAACAATATGTGTACTACTGTTTTGTGAGAAACTATTTGTTCTGTAAGCCTTCACCTGAAGTACAATTAAAAAAAAAAAAAAAAAACTAGAGAGAGAGACAGAAAATATGGCAAGAAGTAACAATCAGTGAATCTAGGAGGTGAAGGGCTGTGTGCGTGTATTCATTTTGCTATTCTTTTAACTTTTTAAAATTTTTTAAATACTCAGAATTGAAAAGGTACTATTCCTATATTGAACCCAAATCCAGCTTTTTATATTTTTACCCTTTGGTTTAATTATGTTGTTTGGAGCGTTTCTGAATAAATCCAAAACATCCCCTAGATTGTATCAGTGGTATTGGTAGTGGTGATGCTGGTAATTTTTGCCTAATATTTATTGACTATATACCATGATATGCCAAACATTGTGTCGAATACATTACATATATTATTTCAGTTAATCCTTGTAACAACTCTTAAGTTGGTACAGGTAGTCCTCAACTTACGACATATTCAAGTTAACAATGAACCGCAGTTAGGACCATCCTTATCGTTAGTAATATGTACTACATACAGTGTTGTGGCATGTAATTTGCTAATATGATCATATCTGTGAGTTTATAGGTAATGTTGCCAACCCCTAAAGACAAATGAAGATCGGATTTAGAAAGATATTAATAATACAAGGCAATAACAACGAAAACTAAAAAAACAAGGTATTTGACTTACGCCAAAACCAACTTAAACAACAGTGATTGGGACAGAATCCCGCCGTAAATTGGGGACTACCTGTGCTCATTTCTGATTTTAAAGGCAGAAATCTAACAAGCTGTCACTAACGCAACAGACAAAAAAAGCAGTTTATCTTAAGAATGAAAATGTGAGGCAAGCTACAGTATTCACTAGTGAAGATCAGGCTAGAAAAAGTTGTGACAAAATCACTAGGGATGCGTATTTTTCTGGAGGCCTGGTGGCAGAGTGGTTAAAGTGCTTGGCTGCTAACCAAAAGGTTGGCAGTTCGAACCCACCAACCGTTCCACAGGAGAAAGATGTGGTAGTCTCCCCTATGGGGCAGTTTTACCCTCTTCTGTAGGGTCACTATGAGTCAGAATGGACTAAGTGACTGTGGTTTTGGTTTTAGTTTTGAACTTGTTCTACATACAACCTACAGTGGAGGGTCAGTCTAGTGTGGTGGTTAAGAACAGTGTCTGAAGCTAGAATGCCTAGGTTCAAATCCCAGCTCCACCATTTGCAAGGTGCTATTGCCTGAAAAGTGCTTCTCCAGAATTTTATACTGAGGACCTCTGTTGTATTAGGTTCTATTGCTGCTATAACAAATTACTACGAACTTGGTGGTTTCAAACAACACAAATTTTTTATCTTACAGTTCTGGAGGTCAGAAGTCCAAAATGGATCTCACAGAGCTAAAATCAGGGTGTTGGCACAGCTGTGTTTCCGTCTGGAGGCTCTAGGGGAGAATCTGTTTCCTTGCCTTTTCAAGTTTCTAGGCTGCCTACATTCTTTGACTTGTGGACCCTTTCCCTGTCTTCAAAACCAGCATCATTCTGTAGTAATATCTCCCTCTGACTTTTCTTCTGCCTCCCTCTTCCACTTTTAAGGACTTATAGCGACCCCATGTACTACAGAACAAAACACTGCCCAGTCCTGCGCCATCCTCACAGTCGTCATTATGCTTAAGCCCATGGTTGCAGCCACTGTGTCAGTCCATCTCGTTGAGGGTCTTCCTCTTTTTTGCTGACCCTCTGCTTTACCAAGCATGATGTCCTTCTCCAGGGACTGATCCCTCCTGATATCATGTCCAAAGTATGTGAGACGTAGTCTTGCCCTCCTTCTAAGGAATATTCTGGTCATACATACCTCTTCCAAGATAGATTTGTTCGTTCTTTTGGCTGTCCATGGTATATTCATTATTCTCCAACACCACAATTCAAAGGCGTCAATTTCTTTAGCCTTCTTATTCATCGTCCAGCTTTCACATGCATATGAGGTGATTGAAAACACCATGGCTTGGGTCAGGCACACCTTAGTCTTCAAGGTGACATCTTTGCTTTTCAACACTTTAAATAGATTTTTTACAGCATATTTGCCCAGTGCAATGCGTCTTTTGATTTCTTGACCGCTGCTTCCATGGGTGTTGACTGTGGATCCTAGTAAAATGAAATCCTTGACAACTTCAGTCTTTTCTTCATTTATCATGATGTTGCTTATTGGTCCAGTTGTGAGGATTTTTGTTTTCTTTATGTTGAGGTGTAATCCATATTGAAGGCTGTGGTCTTTGATCTTCATCAGTCAGTGCTTCAAGTCCTCTTCACTTTCAGCAAGCAAGGTTGTGTCATCTGCATAACGCAGGTTGTTAATGAGTCTTCCTCCAATCCTGATGCCCCATTCTTCTTCATATAGTCCAGCTTCTCGGATTATTTGCTCAGCATACAGATTGAATAGGTATGGTGAAAGGATGCAACCCTGACGCACATCTTTCCTGACTTTAAACCACACAGTATCCCCTTGTTCTGTTTAAACAACTGCCTCTTGATCTACATACAGGTTCCTCATGAGTACAATTAAGTGTTCTGGAATTCCCATTCTTCTCAATGTTATCCATAATTTGTTATGATCCACACAGTTGAATGCTTTCACTTAGTCAATAAAACAGGTAAACATCCTTCTTGTATTCTCTGCTTTCAGCCAGGATCCATCTGACATCAGTAATAATATCCCTGGTTCCACGTCCTCTTCTGAATCCGGCTTGAATTTCTGGCAGTTCCTTGTCCTTTGTGATTACGTCGTACCCACCTAGATAATCTAGGATAATCCTATTTTAAGGTCAGTTGATTAGCAACTTTAATTATATCTGCATCCTTAATTCCCCTTTGCCACATAACCAGACATATTCACATATTACAGGAATTAGGACATGGACATCTTTGGGAGGCCATTTTTTTCCCTACCACAGCTATGTTTAAAATTTAAAATTGCATAAGACAGCTGGGGCCAGGAGAAGACTGTATTCCAAAGTGGAGATCCTAGTCGATGCTAAGGACTATGATTAGGACCAGTAATTGGTTTTGAGCTAAAAGGAATTACTGAGAGGTATGTGTTTGTGTTTTTCAGTTATCTTACTGGCATAAAATGTATATGGTAAACTCAGTATTAAAGAGTGAATTAAAAGGAGACAACTGAGTTTTAGTTACAACATAATATGGAAATAATTAAATATTAGAATAGATTTTATTTCTTGTGTATTATGTCAGCTCAGGAAAATTTTCTTGATTTAATTACAATTTTAGAGAACCTTGGAGTTTAATTTTTTTTTTTTTTTTTGAACAGATTTTTACTGCCTTTGGATGCTACTCTTGATATGGAGAAGATTGAGGAACAATTTGCTAACCTGCACATTGTTAAGCGTTCTTCAGAAAATAAAGAGCCCACTTACCTGCTTGGTATAGACACGTCAAAGACTGTACAGGCAGAAAAAGGAAGCTTGGTTGCTGTTTTATGTTCTAATGGATCAATCAGAATATATGATAAAGAAAGATTAAACGTACTACGAGAATTTAGTGGACTTCCTGGACTTCTTAATGGAGTCAGATTTGCAAACTCCTGTGACAGTGTATATTCAGCATGTACTGATGGCACTGTAAAATGTTGGGATGCTCGATTAGCCAGTGAAAAACCTGTTCAGCTGTTCAAGGGTTACCCTTCCAATATTTTTATCAGTTTTGATATCAACTGTAATGATCACGTCATTTGTGCGGGTACAGAAAAAGTTGACGACGATGCATTGTTGGTATTTTGGGACGCAAGAATTAATTCTCAGGATATGTCTACTGTTAGAGACCCACTTGGTACATATTCAGAGACCCATAGTGACGATATCACTCAAGTACGTTTCCATCCCAGCAATCCTAACATGGTAGTCTCAGGTTCAACCGATGGTCTAGTAAATGTATATGATATTGGTGTTGATGATGAAGAGGATGCACTGGTTACAACCTGCAATTCTGTTTCATCAGTAAGCTGTATTGGTTGGTCTGGGAAAGATTATAAACAGATTTACTGCATGACACATGATGAAGGATTTTGTTGGTGGGATCTTAATCATCTGGATACTGATGAAGCAATTACACGTTTGAACATCCAGGACGTCAGAGAAGTAGTTAATGTGAAAGAAGGTATTTTGGACTATTTGATTGGTGGCCTATATCATGAAAAGATGGACAAATTGTTTGTTGTTGGAGGAACAAACACGGGAAGGATTCAGTTACTGAGCTGTACCCCATCAGGATTGAACCATGTGATGAGCCTTCAGGGAGGGCATGCTGCTACGGTCCGTTCCTTCTGTTGGAATACACAGGATGAGTCTTTGCTGACTGGGGGAGAAGATGCACAGTTGCTGCTTTGGAAACCTGGAGCTATAGAGAAGACCTTTACAAAGAAAGACAGCATGAAAATAGCATCCTCTGTGCTCCAGCGCATGCGAGTTCACAGTAATGATTCTTATAAGAGAAGAAAAAAGCAGTGACGTTAAATTGGGGGTTTACTTGATAGGTTTTATAGTTTCAAGTAATTATTTCTGTCTACAATCTATAGTAGACATGTTTAAAATTTATACGTAAAAACAAGCCAGTTAGCAAACCCTCCTGGAAAGAATGTTGAGAATGGTTTAATTCAGTTCTTCATATATTTTAAAATTATTTTGTTAAAGAGATCAGTTGAATATAAAATCAGCAAGTTGAAAGAAAATTATGTTCTTCATTTTTAAAACCCATCTGTTGAATTAGTAAATGTTGGGTTTAAAGATAGCTTTGATAAGGACTCTTTAGAAGTAGATGGCTGGTAAGGTGTAATAAGACGTGGTTTTGGCTGTATTTTAAGCTCAATTTTTTACATGTTAAATTACCTTCACTGTTTATAAAGCCAAATCATGCTATTTACTTCATTTGAGCAGTTCCTGCTTGCTTAATATACATACATTACACTGGAATAAATATAATTATCTTAATGACTCTAAATAAAAAAAAAAAAATTTAGGAATAAACTGTTAAGTATCTATCTAAAATAATATATTTAGTTAATATTTACATTTATATTTCAATATCATTAAAAAGTAGATAGGAGTTTAGCTGATGAAAAGGAAATTAGCTTGCAAAATTGATTTTGAGACTCGAAGAATATACAAAAGTGAAAACATAATAGCTGAATGACTTTTTATTTCAAAATACTCCTTTGATATTTTTTGACAAAATTTTCTTCCATAGGGTTTCATCTGTAATTTTGAAACTTGAGTTTTTGTTGCTTGCTAATTTTTCATCTTTCCTTTTAAATAGTTCTCTAACTAATCTTAATAAAAGAAACTGATCTCTATAAAGATTGGGCATCTTTGTTTATACTTCATTAAAAATAAAAATACCTTTTGAATTAGAAATATTGTCCTGGAAAACACAGGTGTTGCTTTAGAACCTTTTACACTTCTCTTTATATGTTAATAATTATTTATCTTTGAAGCTGTAATGCTGGGGAAAAGAATTATTTTTATACAGAATAATGCAGCTTACCTTCAGGCTGTGAGCTAGCTTAACTCACTTGAGACTGAACAGTGGATATGTCATTGTTTAATATATTCAAAATACATAATTCTTATTTGGAGAAATTAAACTATGAGTTCTTATCGTTGTTTAAACCAGAAACCTGAGGATCATTCTGGACTTACCTCTTTCCTTTCCTCCACCCAGTCCTTTTCCCTTTACACTTCCCCCCCAACCCCAACACACATACACACTACTGCCTTAGATAAGGCTTTCACCATTTCTCACTGTCTCTAGTCTACTCTAATTCATTCTTCCCACTACTTCTAGGCGGAACATTGAGAACACAAATCTGATCATGCGTCATAGTGCTAAGAATCTTTGGTACATTTTGATATTTTGATGGAACACTAGATAAACATTAAAAATCATATTATTCAACATCTTTAGGGTATAAGACAATGCTGTAAGTGAAAACTGGTTAAAAAGAGTTCTGGAGACATTACATTCATAAAACAACAGAAAATGAAACAGGAGTTATCAAAATGAGAACTTTTAGAAATTACAAATATTTAAAATAAAAAATAGGGTTTTAAGATGTAGGTTGGAGTTCCTGGGTAGTGCAAATGATTAACGTGTTTGGTTAGTAACCAAAAGATTGGCAGTTTGAGTCCACCTAGAGGTGCCTTGGAAGAAAAGTCCTGGCGATCTTCTGAAACATCAGCCATTGAAAACCCTATGGAGCACACATCCGCTCTGACACACGTGGGGTTACCACGAATTGGAGTCAACTCAATGGCAACTGGTTAAGATGCAGGTGAAAAAATCTCCCTGAAACCAGAATTCAGAGAGACAGAAAGTGAGAAAAAAGATAAAAGCCACAGAAGATCAATACAGAGATCTAACATCAGACTAACGGTTTTAAAAGTGAAAGTAGTTTTTAAAAAAAGGCGGGGGTGGGGTAGTGGATTACTAAATGAAATAACAGGAAACTATCCCAGAACTTCAGTCTTCAGATTGAAAGATCCAACAGATTGTCAAGTGTAATGAATAAAAAAGACCTACACTAAGACATAGCACTGTGAAGTTCCAGAGCCTCAAGGGTGAACAGAAAAAAAAGCTCCATTTCCACGCCCCCCTCAAAAAACTATTGCCATCAAGTAGATTCTGATTTCTGTTTCAGAGTAGAACTGTGTTCCAGAGTTTTCAACAGCTGTGATCTCTTGAAGAAGAACGCTAGGCCTTTCTTCCAAGGCACCTCTGGGTGGATTCGAACTGCCAACCTTTCTGTTAGTAACCGAGTGCTTGACCATTTGCACCACCTAGGGCCTAAAGGTCCCAAAGAGAGAGGGAAAAATCACATAGGAACAAGAATTACATTTACAGTAGACTTCTAAGGGTTCTCTAGAGAAACAACCAGAGAGATATAGAGAGATTTATTTATTTTGAAGAATTGTCCTATGCAGTTGTGGGGCCCTGCAAATCAGGAAACAGGCTGGAAATTCTTGCAGCCTTGACTATTTAGTCTTAAAACTATCCTTCCTCTGGAAACCTCAGTTTTTGCTCTTAAGGCCTTTAACTGATTGGATGAGGCTCACCCTCATTATGGAGGGTAATCTGCCTCGCTTGTAAGATAACCGATTTAAATGGTAATCACATATTTACCTTCATAGCAGTATCTAGACTAGTATTTGACCAAACAACTGGACACCATGGCCTACCAAGTTGACACATAAAATTAGCCATCACAACTTCTAGTTAGCAAATCTGGATGCCGAAAAAAAGTTCTAAGGACAAATTCCTTCCTGTTTGAACTTTGCTCTTCAAACTTAGGAACCAAGCAGATTAGGATAAATTTTTTGCAAATCCTTTGCTAAATTGAATGCTCTCTACTTGTTCTCTGAAACTCAGGAACCAAATTGATTCAACTGAGTATCCCTCGCTAGCCAAACTCTAATTAACTGAACCCAAGAAACAGATTTGGAATTCAGGTTTGTCCAGGTTCGAACTCTTGCTGAGAAATTGCATTTCTAACAAGTTCTCAGGTGACGCTAATGCTACTGGTTAGGGACCAATAACGCGAACCACTAGTAGAGCAGTGGTTCTGCCATAAAAATGAATTGAGCACTAACACATGTTGCCACATGGATGAAGCTTGAAAACATGCTAACTGAAAATAGTCATTAAAGACTACATATGATTCCATTTATGTGAAATGTCCAGAATAGCTAAATCTATAGAGACAAAGTAGTAGTTGCCTAGGGCTGGGAGAATGGAAGCACTAGGGGATGATGAGTGATACCTAAAGGGCATTGCAATTTTTTGGGTGGGATGATGAAAATGTTCTTAAATTGATGGTGGTGGTTTTTGCACAGCCCTGGGAATATACTAAAAATCATTGAAGTGTACACTTAAAGTGGATGAGTTGCATGGTATGTGAATTTTACCTTAATCTGTTACCAAAAAAAAAAGGCATACCAGACAAATAACAACAAAAAGCTGGGGTAGCAATCTAACAGCTGACAAAATGGAAGGTAAGGCTAATACAATGTTGATTTCAAAACCAGATGAAAACAGAAAAAAATTTTTTTCAGGCCCATTTTGCTTAATAGTGTATTGTATATTCACAGCTAAAAATACTTGCTAACCAAATCTAATGATGCATTAAAACAAATTCATTATGACCAAGTAGAGTTTATTTCAGGAATGCCAAGATGATTCAACATCAGAAAATATGTTAGTAATGGACAAAAAGGGAAAAAATCGTAATTATCTTAATTGATAGAGAAAATCATGTGTTAAGGTTTCACACCTATTTATGAAGAATATAAATATCAAGCTAGCAACAGAATAATTTTTGTAACTTGGTGAAGGTTTATATGTCAAAAACTTACAGTAAACATATTTAGTGGAGAAATTTTAGATTAAATGCATCCCCTTTAAGATCAAGACTCAATCAGGTAGCCTATTATCACAGTACTATGGATCCTGGCTAATATTATAAGGAAAGAAAAAGAAATATAAGGTGTAAGGATTGGAAGAGAAGAAAGAAAGAAAACCTCTCCTTTGCAAATGACAGCTACATAGAAAAATCTGACAATCAACAAATTATTTGGACTATTAAGAGATTTAGGAAGTTTACCAGTATAAGATCAGTCTATGAAGATCCAAAGCATATCATTTCACAATACCAACAAAAATTATAAAATATCAAAGAATGGACCAAGAATATACATGACCTATTTGAGGAAAACTTGAAAACTCTACTAAACTTTATTAAAGAGAGAACGTGATATAAGAAACATTCCTTGCTCCTACTGGTGATGGTTGCACAACATGACTGATGAAATTAGTGTCACTGAATTGTACATATGAAAAATGTTAAATGGGCAAATATTCTGTTATAGAGATTTTACAACAATTAAAATACATGCTCTGATGAGATGACAATATCATAGTGAACGTTCTTAATTTAATCTGAAAATTCAACGTAATCTCAATAAAAATACCAACTGGATTTTTTAAGGACCTCAAACTTACTGTAAAAATTGCTTGGAAGAATAAGGTCCACAATAGCTAAGTAAACTTAAAAAAAAAGAAATTGTGGTAGTAAAAACTGTGATGTGACCTAAGAACAAACAGTAGAAAAGTGCAAATAATAGAAAACTCAGAGACAGTTGATGGATATATGGCAAATTAATATTTATAAAGATGACAAAATGGAGAAGAGGAGAATTTTTTATTAGATGATGTTGGGAATACTGGCTCACTATACAGAGGAAAAATGAAGCTAGATTTCTACTTATCACAAAGTATACCCTGGATATACAAAAGACTTAAATGATATAAGGTTAAAACTATAAATTTAATGAAAGAAAATATAGGAGAATATGTCTGTGACCTAGAGGTACAAAAATGGCTTCTCAAATAAAACTTCAAAAGCCTGAAGCATAAGGTACAAAAAGAAATTTGGTTACATCACAATTAAGCATTTGTGCTCAACAAAAGACCTGTAGACAAAGTTAATAGTCAAATGACAGAATGGAAGAAAATACATTTGAAATATGAGTACAGCAGTGCCAATGATCACAGCCACACTCAACAACATTCAACAGAAGAGGGACTATTTCTTTACATGTGATTCTTTTCATTAATTATTAACACACACACAACTTTTTGAGGAGCCTCCCAGCAAGTGTCATTGGCTAGACTTTCATTTATGTGCCCGTGCCTAAAACAGTAGCTAGCAAGAGGAATGGAATCACCACCGGATTGGCCCAATCATGATTCAACACCTATGGGGCCAAGAATGACAAAAGTGATCATCAGAGGCCTGCATTA